CTCAAAATCTCAATGGTTTTTAAAAGTAAGTATTTATTTTTCATAAACTTGAGAGTTAATGGCGACACCTTTGCTGAGGTGACTCCTCTCCAGGAGATCCTCATGCTTTTCCTGAGACCAATAGACAAAATGGAGCACTGTCTTCTGTTGACTATGGAAATAGGAAAAGTAGGAACAAACAAGGCCTCTCAAGGTGGCATGTGCCACCATACTTGGCTAATATTTAAATTGTTTTGTAGAGACAATGCCTCACTATCTTGCCTTTGTTGGTCTTGAACTCATGGGCTCAAGCAATCTTCCTGCCTTGGCCTCCCAAAGTGTTGGGATTACAGGAATGAGCTACCATGGCCTGGCCCAGCTTGGCATTCTTTGGCTTGTAGATACATCACTCCAATCACTGCCTTTATCACTAGGCTCAGGACCAATGCCATGTCATGTCTGCTCACATTTCATGGTCCAAAGCAAGTCACTAAGTCAAGGGGCAGAGAAAGTTACTACCTCGAGTTGGAGGAGTGGCACAGTTACGTGGCAAAAAATATGGATATAGGGAGGGATGGAGAATTGGGTCCCCTAATTGATCTAACTCAATACCTGGAGTATTACTAGTCTTTCAAGACCCTGATCCCCATGCGTCCAGCTTCTGTTGGAGCCCTGTATTAGTTGCTAGGGCTGCCATCACTAAGTACCACAAACTTGGTGGCACAAACAACAGAAGTGTACCCTCTCACAGTTCTGGAATCCAGATATCTGAAATCAAAGTGTCAACAGGTTCCATTCCTTCTAAGGACTGTAAGAATCTGTTCCATGCCTTGCTCCTAGCTTCTGATGATTTGCTGACCATCTTGTCATTCTTTTTTTTTTTCTTTTCTTTTGAGACAGGATCTCTCTCTGTCACCCAGGGAGGAGTGCAGTGGCATGATCTTAGTTCACTGCAACTCCTGCCTTCTGGGCTCAAGCGATCCTCCCACGTCAGCCTCCTGAGTAGCTGGAACTACAGGTGTGCACCACCATGCTTGGCTGATTTTTAAATTTTTTTGTACAGATTATATCTCACTATATTCCTTTTACGGGTTTTAAACTCATGGGCTGAAGCAATCCTCCTGCCTCAGCCTCCCAAAGTGCTGGGATTACAGGCCATGAGCTACCTTGGCCTGGCCCAGCTTGACATTCTTTGGCTTATGGACACATCGCTCCAGTCACTGCCTTTATCTTTCCATGGAATTCTTCCTGCATGTGTGTCTGCATCCTCATTACCCCTTTATGTAAGGACATCAGTCATATTAGATTAGGAGTCCTCCATAACTCCAGTATGACCTTAATATAATTACATAGCCAATGATCCTATTTCCAAATAAGGTCACATTCAGAGGCACGAGTGTTAAAAACTTGTGATGGCTAATTTTTTGTGTCAACTTGGCTGAGCTAAGGGATGCCCAGATAGCTGGAAGATTTATTTCTGGTTGTGTTCATGATGGTATTCTTGGAAGAGATTAACATTTAAATTCATAAACTGAGCAAAGAAGAACCACTCTCCCCAGTGTGGTTGGGCATCCAATCCACTGAGGGCCCAAGTGGGACAAAAAGGCAAAGGAAGAGTGAATTCACTGTCTCTTCCTGAGCTGGGACGTCCATCTTCCGCCCTTGGACATCAGTTCTCCTAGTTTTCGGGCCTTCAAACTCAGATTGGGACTTACACCATTGGCTGTCCTGGTTCTATGGGCTGTGGGCTTGAACTGGAACTATACCATTAGCTTTCTGGGCCTCCAGCTTGCAGATGGCAGATGGTGGGATTTCTTATCCTTCATAATCACACAAGCCAAGCCCTCATAATAAAGCTGTTTTTATATATCTATATTTTAATCTATATCTTATTGTTTCTGTTTCTCTGGAGAACCCTGACCAACACAGACTTTAGCATATAAATTTGCAGGGCAGGAGGTGGGACACAATTCAGCCCCTAATAACCCCCAACTAATTTTGAAGTGTGAAGGGAATGAGATGGTGGAGGGGAAGTAAAGGCAGGATCACTGTGCTAGTACATACTAGTCATAAGCCTGGTCAAAAATAAAATAAAGGAAATGTTTGCATAGTACAGTCCAGAGGAGATAAGAGGAGGTGAAATCACATGCATTGGTGAAAGATTTGTCTTTACAAGCAAAACAAATTTTAAAAACCTAATCAAACTCAAATTTTAAAAACTCTTTTATATTCTCTGACAGGACAACTTTTATCTTACAGATGAAATATTCATTAACACATACTGGGTGCCTACTGTGTGTCAGGCATATTATCTCATATCCCACAATAACCTGAAAGGCTGGCACCACTATCTCCACTTTATATGTGAGAAACCTGAAACCAAGAGAAATTAGAAACATAGTTTGACTCATAGTTTATAAAGCACCAGGTTGTCCAACCCCAAGCATGCCTGTTTCATCTCAACCACTTGTCTGTTGTTGAGTTACTGCTGCTTTTACACAACTTGAGAAAATCCCAGATGTCATTGATTAGGAAATGATGTACTGAAATCCCTCCTGTTTGGTCAGTGTTTCCTATGGGATAAGAAATAAGAGGACAGCTTGATTACCCCTTTTTTTTTTTTTTTGGCCTCTGAGGTCCACCTTTAGGAACACCTTTAATCATAAATTCTTAACACTTTACCTCATCCAGGTAGAATAGTAAAATTTCTCCTCTTGTTCTTGAGACCTTTTCCAGGCTTTCCTTATAACATTCATCATGTACTAATCAATTTGCTTATTTGTGCTTTCCTTTCTAATTCAACTGAAGTCCAGAATTTTCTTTTGTCTTTGTATCTCCAGTGCCTAATATAGTGACTGACACATGTTGGGGGAGGGACTTAGTGGGAGATGATTGGATCATAGAGGCGGTTTCCCCATGCTGCTCTCCTGATAGTGAGTGAGTTCTCACAAGATCTGATGGCTTTCTAAGGGACTCTTCCCCCTTCACTCTTTCTCTTTCCTGCTGCCTTGTGAAGAAGGTGCTTGCTTCCCCTTCTCCTTCCACCGTGATTGTAGATTTACCCAGCCATGTGGAACTGTGAGTCAATTAAACCTCTTTCCTTTTAAATTACCCAGTCTTGGGTGTTTATAGCAGTGGGAAAATAGACTAATGTTTCAACATATGCAAACAGAATTTGCATATGTTGGAGACAGAAAATCTCTCTCTCTCTCTCTCTCTCTTTCTCTCCTATTAATTCAATTAATTTTCTCAAGCACCCTGTCAGGAACATGCTCCTATTGTCCACATTTTGCAAAAAACACAGATTTAGCAAAACAAAGTATCTTGCCCAAAGTCACCCACGTAATAAGTGGAAGAGCCACTCAAGGCCCTTGGTCTGCCCGTGCCTGCCAGTGCTCTTGATAACACAACATGGAAAGTGCCCTTTAACAATGATTGGCAGTCAATTAATTACTTTAGAATTTCATTCTAACCTTAGAAAATCTTCCCTTCCCTTTTCCAATAACGGATATAAGATAGAGGAACCTTATTTGTGTTGAGGACAGGAACCCGACACTTCTGTCTGTGTCAATAGTCTCTGGCTCGGTGACTCCCATATATGGGTGCTCAGTAAATGTGTAGGAGCCCAATACAGGACATGTTCAGTCTTTATGCTAGAGGTGTCTTGGGCACAGAGGGCCAGGGTGACCTTTCCAAGATCAATCCCATACCTCTTGGCTCAAACGTTAATCCATCTCTAGAACCTGGGGATATATATTATATAATGTTCTATATACTTCATATAATTTGTTCTCATGAGACTTGCTTGGGTAAGTATGAGAATTATTTCCATTCACATGAAAAAAGGTGGTCTTGGAGAAAGGCTAAATGACTTGCCCAAGTTCACACAGCTAGTAAGTGGCAGAGCTAAACTTTAGACCCAGTCTTCTTTCTCCCCAGCCCCTCTGCATTTTCTCCAGCGTAGCCTACCAACAAATCAGAACTGTTTACTTGGAGATTTTCAAACTGGCCGTGACGTGACTTGTTGAGGCCACACACATATAAAAGAGGGAAGGAGCTGTATTCTTTACTCTGTGCCAGATTTTGCTCAGATATGAAAATAAAGCTACTGAAAAACTAGAACAGAAGCTGTTGAAACTTTTTCCTCAAAGATGGGTAATAGGTCTTTAATAATCCAGACACATGCTGCAGTCCAGTTGATCTACAGCCAAGAGTATATTTGCAGGATAGCAGCTAGCTGTGGTCTCTCCAGTCAAGGAACAGTATTAACCTAATTAGCCACTAATGTCACCAAATGCATGACCTGAAAAGGCAGGCAGGGGCTGCCCAAGCTGGAATAGCCAGCCACTAACAGTCATTTAGAGTACCTCATACAGAGGAGGGGACTTATTTCAGTGGCATTTCAATTAAACACATCTCTAAATCATACAGACACATGCAAATATAAAAATGCAAATTTGAAATACAACATTTTCTTGTAGGTGATTTTGGGACTGAAACAGGGGAATGAAACTTCACACAACCACTGTTTTGTCCCCGGTGGATTCCTAGGGAGTATCTCAGTGCCTTGCACTCAATACTGTTTACTGAGTAAAGGAATCAATGAGTACAAACATGTTCTTACGAAAGCAACCACCCATAAAGCTACACACATCTCTAATTCTCATTTGGTTTTAACTTCCCCATTGCAATTAAAAGTCTACCTTCATTTACATGCATATCAACCAACATCCCCCAACAAAAAAAAGAAAGTTGCATGAAAAAAAATAGAAAAGCTATGAATTTCCACCATGTCCCAGATTTTCCAAATAATCCTGCCATTTGGAAGCCTGTTCATAGCCCCCAAAGTACTGAAAGGCCTTGCAAAATGCTCATAGGTGAAACAGCAGGAAGCATCTAGAGCCATCTCAGAGGGAGCCTTCTGCTTCCAGAAATAAAGTCACACATTCACAGGTGCTTCCTGTTTTTTCAAACACCTTGCCCACCTTCTGCACACCAAGCGTGGATTCTGCAAAACGTGAGCCCAACAGGAAGCTGCCTGCAATTTCAGGTAGCTTTTCTGACTCTTAAAGAGATCTCAAGTATACTTTCAGAGAAATGCCAGCAAAAACTGTAGTCATTCGGGAAGGAGTAAGTCTGGAAGAAAAAGATACAGTGAACTAGCACAACGAGGGTGAGAACATTTTTCATGAAACTGCTGTCTGTAAATTACATTTTAAAACAAATAAATTGTGTTTTCTTTAGGTTTTTAGCTCCTGTGGGTGGAATTAGGAGAACCGACTGTAAGCGGGTGGTGTTTGTCATATCTCTGCTGTGAGGGAGGAAGAAGAAGGAGGAAAGCTAGGGTGGAGAGGAGGAAGGAGACCCGCATGGCTGGAATGTCTCCACTGAGCTCAGGGGGATGAATTCCTCTGAGACTTCTTGCATTTGAGGAAGCTCACAAACCCTTCCTGAGATCTCAGAATAACCTTGAAATGAACATGTAGAACACTGATTAAGTTGTGTGTTCACAGTAAGCTTTGATTGAACTATTCTAGGGAATTTCTTCTTAACATGGTCACAGGTGGATGAGTTGGGAAGAAAATGCTACGGGCGCTGTACTGTTTTAAAATGAATTCAGAGAAGTTGTTCAAGGTGATAAGTGCCATGTCACATATCATAGGTCTTGGATAATTTAGGGTGATTTTTAAAATGTAATTATAACTGCTAATTGCATAATTACTGCTAACAGTACTGGTTCAGTTCCAAGTATGTATTCTTACATTTGCTTTTGTTTTCTTCTATATTTTCCCATCCGTCTTGCCAAATTAAGTTAAATCATGTAAATAATTTTGCTTATTAAATTGACTTCTTAATGTTCTTTTTTTCTGAAATGAAATTGAAAACAGTATCTACAAAGTTAAGTTTCTTCAACTTAACTGGTAAAAGGGCTGCATGGGAGAATGTTTCTCTGCTGAAATTCAAAGAAATGTCTTTAATCTACAATGGTCAGAACTGGTCCATATAAATCCTCCCTGAGCTTACCCTTAGCAGGGAATTAAGGGAACAAAGAGCAATTAACTTTGTTTTGCTTGTAGTAACAAAAATAGAAACACCTGAACATCTTATATAACCAATAGAAGTTTTATAATCCTTTTTTAAAGGAAACTTTATATACCTAAGGGTTTGAAATACATTAATACTTTTTTTTTTTTTTTGAGACAGAGTCTCACACCGTTGCCAGGGCTGGAGTGCAGTGGCGCGATCTTGGCTCACTGCAACCTCCACCTCCCGGCTTCAAGCGATTCTCCTGCCTCAGACTCCCAAGTAGCTGGGATTACAGGCGCCCGTCACCACGCCCAGCTCATTTTTTTGTAATTTTAGTAGAGACGGGGTTTCATTATGTTGGCCAAGCTGGTCTCAAACTCCTGACCTCATGATCTGCTGCCTCGGCCTCCCAAAGTGCTGGGATTACAGACACGAGCCACCGCTACACTAATAATTTTTTAAAAACTTTAAATTCTGTTCTACACAAGAAACTATTTCTCTTCCACCTGTCCCGTGTGTTTTGGTGAAGCACCATGTCACCATGTGCATATAGCTATTGAAGATCCATTATGCACATGCTATAGATTCAAACAAGTTGCTGTCCAGAAAGAACCTGATATCCTCTCAGGACACACACATGTCACAGTGAAATGATACCAGATACTGGCAAAGGAGGGGTAGAGTCTAGTCTTGGTTCTATTATTTACAAAGTATCTCTAGGTTTCCATTTTCTCATTAGCAAAAAGAGGAAATTGGACTATGTGTTCTGTAAAACCGCTCCTAGTTTTAAAGTGTATTGATTCTTGGGTTTTAAGAAGAACTGAAATAAAAGACAGCACATACTAAATGGCAGGTTAGCTGCTATAAGGAAGCGACTGCATAGGGTTGGAGCATCTGGGAAAGCCTCCGTGGGGCTGAGAGGTGTGGCTGGCTCTAGAGAATGGGTGGAACCTAAGAAGGTAGAGATAAGGGGGAGCAGTTCACAGGGCACACTCAGGAGACCAGGGGATGCTCGACTGTGGCTAGATCCAAACAGACCCCCGATGCACATGTAAGTGCTAGAGAAAATCTTGTTCTTTGCCACCTTAATGAAAGAGGATAATAAGATCACTTGTGGGAAAGTTTTAGTAGCTGAGACTGCTGATCCAATGGGTACAGCATCTTCAAAGGAAAGCCAGCAAGATGGGCCATGTTAAACCCAAAACTTTCGCCAAGGCTCTTTGGCTGCTCCGCACCGGGGAGGTCTCAGTCAGTACTTTGTACTGCAACTATGCCCTCACATGACTCCTCTCTTTTAAATAGCTGGAAGGCCCTTAAATAGGTTCAAACAACAAGACTTCCTAAAAGAAAACTAGGCAAATTCTGCCACCTCTGAGCTCTGTGACCTTGAAAAGTTTGTTTTAAATGAAATAGCTCAAGGATAGAGAGAATTATCTAGAATGAAAGAATAAGTGTCCATGTGCTTGTCATCCAGCTTTGTTACATGTTATTGCTCGTATTTTCTCATAGTTATTTCAGATTTTTCACAAGGAATGAAAGGTTAAAGTTGACGCTAATTATGTACTACCTTTCAAGCCAGTTCTCTTCCTCTCTCTCTCTTTCTCTTTCTCTCTGTCTCTGTATCCAGGAGCAAACACGTTTTGAATTTGATGTTTATCTTCCCGTGATGTTTCTGTATTTATGCTACCTAGACATCTACAAATAATACTGAGTATTGTTTTGTGTTCCTAGATGTTATATGAATGGTATCATACTTTGCATATCTTTTAATATCTTGCTTTGGTAATTCACCATTGAATTTTTGAGGTTTATCCATGCTGATACACATTATTTTCACTGCTACATAGAATTCCATTGTATCATTATTCCAAAATTTATCAATCTGTTGTCTCGTTAGTGGCATCTTGGGTTGTTTAAAAGATCTTTCTATCTCGAATAATGTTGCAACATTGCCCTCACGAGTGTTTCCTCCACATAGGTCAAAGCTTCCCTAGGAGCCACTGGAGGACACATTTACTGTTGGTTTTAGAAGATATTACATAACTGCTCTGTGCTTTTCTAACAGTGAGGACTTCCAATTCTCTATATCCTTGCCCACATGCAACATTTTAATCCTTTTCAATTTGATAGGTATACTGTTTTAATGTTCATTTACATGCCATAAAAGCCTTTTATGCCCCATTGTACAGAATACTAAAGTGAAATCTTTATTTCTCATGCTACATACCCCAGTCTAGTTTCTTTTAGGACTAATCTACTTCCTTTCAGTTTATGGTATTTTGGTTACCAAACTAGACACTGTTTTTCTTTGAGTAAATATAACTCAAAGCAGGTGTTGACTTTGCACAGTAATAAAGAAAGGTAAATTGTTTCCAAAAGTAGAAATAATATAACTGTGCCAACTCTAAGGTTCAGAAAACATCCCTTGATTTCGTATCCAATTTTCTTTCCCTTTGGTCCTCCCACCAGTTGATAACCACCTTGAACAGCCAAAATACGGCATGCAAAATTATATTTGTGATATTTGCAGCTTGACTTAAGAAACTGAAGTAGCTGAAAATCTGACAAATATGTCCTCTTGTCACTTTCCAGTCCTTGTGCAGTGGTGAGGAATTTCAGACACAAACAGGTCCCCATTAGGCTTGAATCACTCTGATAAAGCTCTGATAAGCATCAAGGTTCTGGGGCTTTTTACAGAAAAGAATTTCTTTTTCTTTACTTTTTAATTTCTGAATTTCAACGGGCAGATTAAAGTTCCTCCGTTTCTTTAGAAAATCACTCTCTGTTTTTTATGCAGTTCATGATGTACTTTCTTCTTTCACTCAGACAGGATTTAGAAGAGCAATCTGGCATTCATCTCAGTGAAAGCATCAAAATATCTAACACTGTCAGATCATTAAATAGAACACTATATAGTTATAAAATATACATCCCAAACCATTTCTAAAAGGTCATTGAGGAATCTTAAGTGATCAGAAAAATGTTCATGAGATAAGGCTCAATCTGTGGAAATAAACTATATGTATATGGGCATATCAAAAACAGTTCCATCTCTATCTTTCAATCTATTTATCATCAATCTATCTAGATAAAGGGAATATACCAAAATATTAACAGTGAATATCTTCCAGTGAAGAGACCATGAATTATTAAACACTTCAAAACATATTTCTGATTTTCCAATAGTTCTGCCATGAGCATGTCTTATTTTTATAACCTAAAATGATTAGAACAAAAGGCATTTATTAATAAAAAATATAATGTAACAAAGTTCTAAGAAGACACAGTCTTATAGTATGGAGGCTTGATAAACAAATTTAATATAGTCGTTATTTTTCTTTTGACTTTCCTTTTATTTTTCTTTTTGCAAACTCTTTCTGAGTTGAACACAGGTTTGGGAAAATAACAGAATTGTAACTTTCCACATATATTTTTTAAACGTACGTTTAGTAAATATAGACATGTATAAGCATATCTAAATGGTAGCCTGTTGGGGTTTATTTGCATAAAGGGCAGAGGGTCTCAGTAATAACAAGTTATTATTTTCTTAAGGTTGATGGTTAGTACCACCATGTTCCCCTCAAAACCCCACTCACTGTGGCATGGGAGAATAATTTAACCTTCCAAGCCTTGGGAGGCATGTCAGTAGAGGAAGGCAGTCATCATCACAGGAGAGTTGTTGTACACAGGTTGAATTGGGGTTATCCTTGGGCTAAAGAAGAACTCAGTTGTACCTTCATACAGCGACAACAAGCTTCCCACCCCTCCTTCAGAGAAGAGCCATGGCCCTCAGTAGAGGGAGCTATAACAGAGAATGAGTTAAATGAATGCTTTATTAACCAGTGTTTGTGAAAATCAGTAAGTCACAGAGCACCCAGTTTCATTTGTATCCATCAATGCATCGTTATATCCACAGGGAAGCACAGCAAGGAAGGACAGTAGGTGGATGATGCTGTGGGGATCTCCTACCCCTTCTGAGCTCCTATTACATCTATTATTATCACAATCATACATTTATTTCTTGAGTAAACAAATTTGGAGATTTTAAGATATAGTGCTTTATCCTAACTTGGTAAAACCCCTATATACAATTACCTAAAACTAGGGGGAGAATTTAAATACAGTTTTCAAAGCAATTTAGCAAGTATGTATGAAGTGGCCACACAATACGTCTGGCACTATTCGAAACATTGTAAGGCTGAAGAAATAAGACACTCCTCCAAAGAGAACATCTTAGGATCTTATCTGGATGATGAAATAGATGTACATGAAGCAGACAAACAACATTACATGTTCTAGGAGGTACAGTAAAATGAAGCATCATAAGTGATGAAAGTGATCTACTACAGATTTAAAGTATGAACTCTGGAATTGGCTCCCCTGAATTCCAATCTCAGTTCATTTTATTATTGGCTGGGTTGAAAGAAACTTAGGCAAGTTACCTAACATCTTTATGTCTCAGTTTCCTCATCTATAAAGTGGTGAAACTAATATCTGTTTCATAAAGTAAATTACATATAATATGCTTAAAAGAGGGTCTAATACACAGATGAAGCTCAAGAAACAATTACTTTTATTACTATCAAATGTCAAGAAAACTAGTTTAGAGACTACGTATGATACTTATAAAATATTGATTGCCAGGGTTGGACCAGACTTTTGAGAGAAAGTGCCTTTTAGAAATGGCAGAATGGGCCGAGTGCTGGCTCACGCCTGTCATCCCAGCACTTTGGGAGGCCGAGGTGGGTGGATCACGAGGTCAAGAAATCGAGACCATCTTGGTCAACATGGTGAAACCCCGTCTCTAGTAAAAATACAAAACCTATTTGGGCGTGGTGGTGCACATCTGTAGTCCCAGCTACTCGGGAGGCTGAGTCAGGAGAATCGCTTGAACGCGGGAGGCGGAGCTTGCAGTGAGCCGAGGTGGCGCCACTGCACTCCAGCCTGGGCGACAGAGCGAGACTCCATCTCCAAAAAAAAAAAACAAAGAAAAGAAATGGCAGGGTGAGATATTCAAATAAAACTTTCAGGTTGCATTTTATAAAAGACTGAGGATTATTTATCACAACAAATGCAAAATCATTTCCATAAAGAGTAGAAAATATAAGTGGTAGGAAAAAATATATCAGTTGATTATTTTCTTTAAAAAAAGAATCTCAGATCATTCATTTGATGTTTCTCTTCAGAGTTTGAAAAGTTCATGACAGCTCACAGCTCACGATGGTGGCGATCTTAAGGATACAGAAAGCTCATTCCTCATGCAGGGAAGAAGAAAATATTCTAAAGAAGAGATAAGCATATTCCGCAAAATCAAAAAAGGTAGGAAAACAATATTTATTCATTCACTCCTTCACTCACTCAACAAACATATATTTAATGCCTACTATGCATTAGGCATGGTACCAGAATCTGGAATCCAAAATTAAATGAGTCTCTGTCCTCAAGAGTTTACAAGACAGAGCAGTAAATAAGTGATCAAAATACTGTATGATAACAATTAGTACAAGGCATGGAGCTGAGCCTGGATAGTAAAGCAGAGGTCATGTGAGTGAGTTTTGTCTTTACTCTGATACAAATGGGAATCCATTGAAAGATTTAAACAAGGAGAATGCTATCTAACTATTTTCATTCTTAAAAGGTCACACTTGTTGTATAGTGAGAACAAATTGAATGGTGAATCAGAGCTGAGATTTTGTAATTTTTATAACTGTAAAATCTTGTATAGTTTTCTATGTCTATAAAGTACAATGAGTTCACACCCTCTTAAATCTAAGTAGCTGTGGGTCCCCTCCAATGCTATTATTCATCTAGCAGTTTCCCTTTTGCTCCCACTCATTTCTCTACAATGAATAACAGAACTGCAAGTAAACAAAGAAGGATGGAGAATGAACCTTTGGTTTCTCTCTTTCAAATGGAAGCTAACAGAAAAGCTCAGGAACTCACACCTTGAGGAGAGGGTAATATGCAGTGGTTAATAACATAGGATATTGATTTAAAAACTAGTGTTGCCCATTGCTCATTCTGCGACCTGAGGCAAACTTGTCAATATTTCTGGTCTTAATATCTTTACTTTAAGATGGTAATAAAATTATTTCTATCTTTTATTTGTCAGACTCGGCTAACTGCTATAACAAATAAATCAAATCTCAGAGGCTTAACACAATAAAAATATATTTCTGGTTCAAGTTAAGAAAAGGCATTAGCTAAAACAATAAGATAAGTTATTATAATATAAAATTGCAGGATAAAAACATTACATAGATAACTTATTATTTTATATACATAAACAATGTTTATTTAGATGTTATAACAGAAAAATCCTCATTTATAATAACAACAAAGAACATGAAACACTTTTAAATAAACGTAAAAGGAAATGTGCAAAAACTGTATGAGGAAAGCATTTGTGAAAGATATAAAAACACTGAAGAAGAGCCAAGAAAACACTTAAAAAGAAAAACTAGGAGGAAGAACTAGCCCTATCATACATTAAAACATACTATAAAGTCTTCATAATTAAGATTGTGGTATGTAGGTGCATCACTAGAAAAATAAACTGAGAGAATAAATTAGAAAGCCTAGAAATCAACTCAAGTACATATGGAAATTTAGTATATGATAAGGGACATCACAAAATTACTGGGGCAAGCAAATTTTAATAGATGGTTCTGGGACAACTGGATAGCTATTGGGAATGAAATAAGTTTAGATCTGTATCTCACACCATATATAAGCATAAAGACCCAATGAAAAAGAGATATAATAAATATAAATGTAAAACAAAAAAAATTTTTTAAACATACTGGAAGAAAACATAGGTGAATATTTCTATTTAACGTTGGTATAGGGAAAGATTTTCTAACCATGACTCAAAATCCAGAGGCAATTAAAAAAAAAAGATTGACAAGTGGCCAAATAAAAATAAAAATTTTTATGCATGACAAAAACACCATAAACAAAGTCAAACAACAAACAAACTTTTAAAAAATGCTTGCAACATTAATCTTTCTATAATAAAGCACATAAACTGCTAATATATTAAAAACTTCTAAAATTGAAAGAAAAGGGATTTAAAAAAAACATTGAACTAGGTAAAGAAACAAGAGTAGACAATTCACAAAAAGATATATTAAAAAACCTTGTAAGAGAGCAAAAAATGTTTAATATCATTCCTAACTAGTGAAATGCAAATTAAAACTTTATAGGAATATTATTTTCCACCTATCAGATTAGCAAAAAATTAAAAACATGGCAATCATCTGTAGGGAAAGAGATACTCTCACACATTGCTGGTGAGAATGTCAAGTGGTACAAGCCTTTCAGAGGGAAATTTGGTAATGCCTAAGAAACTACATATACACTTATTTTTTAATTCAGCAATTCCACTTCTAGGAATTTACCCAGAAGATACACCTCCCATAAGGCAAAAATAAATTTGCACAGGGTTATTAATTGTGACATTGTTGTTACTGCAAAATATTGGAAACAATGTACATATCTGAATATAAGAGAGTAAACAAATTGTGTACCTCTACAGGCTCTAAGAGAAAAGAAAATAGAAGAGGATTCCTGTGAAACAATTTGGATTGTTTTTTCACAACACATTAAGTAAAAAAGAAAAAGGACAAAGTGCAAAAGAGTATCTATTATGTGTCAACTTTTATGAAAGAGAGATTGAAAAAAAAAAAAACGCAAAAAGGTTAACCCAGGAACTAAGATTGCTTATATATAGGGATAAGAGGAAGGAGTAGAGGTACAAGGGATGATGGGGGTGGGAAAGAAACACCTCTCTGAGTATAACTCTTTGTACAGTTCTGACTTTTAGAAACCATGGTAATATTTCGTATACCAAAAATATAAATAAATGACAAAAATCAAGCAGGATGAAGGGAGAACCCAAAATTCAATACGAACAATAACAAATAAGCCTAACTCAAGTACAAACCACACTGAAGGGGATGAGGAAGAAAAGAATGAACTGAAGGCAACTTTGAAACCCAATGTATTATTACATACATGTATTATTAATACAATGTATATATTACATACTCTAAGACCAAAGACCAACAGGCATGTACACAAACAATGTACACTAGTTTGCAAGTTTCCCAGACCCAAAGAGGCATCGGTTAGTAATTATAAAACAGTTCATGTATATTTTAGGATTGTGCAAATAAGTAAATAATATTTGCATAACAAAAGGGAGAAATGGCTTGATACTGAAAAACTTGCGAGCAGACATGGTGAGGAATGGAGTCAACCGCATACACCACATTGGCAGAGAAAGGGAGAGAGCCATCTTATTTTATTTTAATGAAATATTTTGCTTTGGAGAATTCAAAGAAAAATATAGGAGGTCACTTGATTTTACCACCAGAGGGCATAAGACATTAAGAAATAGGGCAAACAATGCCCACTTGCTTGTGAGATTCTCTGATTTCATGGTTTGAAATCTCTAGGTGGCCACTTCAAAAAATGAACTCAAACCCTAACCTGAACCAGAACACAGACCTAAAAACAAAGGTTTAATATTCTGCTACTGAAACATACCAGGAGGGAAAGCAGTTCACAGCATGCACTGAGGGCCAAAGACAAACAAGCTACCTGCAAACGAGGATAGGAAAAGGTTAGGAGGGGGAAACTATCTTTTTAAAATCCTCAACCATGTTCTCAAAAATGTAATTTATTTACATTTTTTAATTCCATTATTGATTTAGGTTAAACATTGAAATGAGTTGGCAGTGTTAAATTTCATGTTTCCTCTCCTGTCGATGTTTGAGAAAAATATTACCTGGTTAATGCAATCTTACCTAGCAAAACGGGGATGAGCTGGTCTAGAATCAATGAGACCAAGGTCTTGAGTTCAAATTGTGTGTGAGTCAGTGAACCTCTCTCTAAAACAGGGCCAAGCCCTTCTCCTAAACCAGCAAATGCACCTGGTGGGTCACAGAGGGAGTGGTGACAGAGCACACATGTGCATAGCACAGACCCAGCACTGCCCTGGAGAACTGAAAATCAAACTGCACATTCTGTGGATGTTGTGTCAATGGACTCTCCCCATAAATAGTATTTTGATCTCAGAGTCAGGTAATTTAAATTTATCCTATTCCTCTCACCACCCTCCCCTCAACTCCCACCTTTTACATTTCTATGTTCTTCCCCACCTAAGCCCTTACCCTTTTAAAAATCTTCGCTAGGGTGCATACATGGAAAAGGGGGTGAATTACTTATTTTAATGATTTAAAAATTATTTTAATTCTGCCAATAGTTTTCCAAAGTAGAAGAAACTTGGATGGGCAGGAGATTTTAATCTTAGACATAGACCCAATTGGTCCATCTCTATTCTCTGCATGAGATGGCACCTTATCCATTACAAGGATATCATTTCCTACCTGCCCCCCCTTGCTTAAAAATCTCTGGAGCTCATTTCATAGATGAGGATTTTTGAGGGAAACTGCATCTTATTTGGAATTAACATGATATTACTATATCCAAAGGAGCTCTCCTGGGTTTGAGGATAATCATGACTGATGCTGCATTTGTGCAGCAGAAAGTATCAGTGAGCCACGTGTTGTCATGTGCTGTGTTCAAGTCTCTCTAAGTAGGTAAAAGTAAACTGGAGAACTGAGATAATCATCTTGACAAGTTAGTCAAAATACTCCATATTTATTCTAGATATAAGGACTGAGGGTGTGTGTTATTTAGTATGTTGCTTTACACTTCTAAAATACTTGAGATAATTGCAATGTTTCTTTTTCACTTTTTAATAATAGTACTAGATATAATTGCATTACATAAATGTTCTGTTATCTTAAAATTACTAGAGTCCATTTCTGACTAAAATATCTCATTGTTTCATTTCTACTTCCTCACCTCCAGCTTTTTAATCAGTCTTTTATTGTCAGATTTCATTTTCCTCTTTAGAAATGGGTGAGGTAGAGCCCCAGTTGTGCTTAATGGGTATATGAAAACAATCTTTTGAATCTTCCAATCCAGGCTGTTCTTATTGTTGTGATACCTTGGGGAACACAAATGGAGTTGAGTGGGTCCCAGAGGAAAAGCCTACCCAGAACCTGCTCAATGTGAGTTCATAGTTCACAGATTCACAGAAGCTGATCATATTCCTTTTTTTTTTTTTTTTTTTTTGCATTAGGCACCTGATTAACCTCCATGAGTCCACACTAGAAGTGACACCGAGAAAGAGTTCAACTTCTCATTTCCCATGTGTCCCTCAAGGGTCCCTCATCACCTTCCCTTCCTGAATTCGAGTCAGATGGATTTCCTCCTTTCCCAAACTTGAATGCCTCCATTGTGCTAAT